AGCTGTGACTTTTTAAAATACATTAGCAATGGCTCAAAGCTGAAGCAAACAAGATGACAATGGCTGTTTGTTAATAGTCACAATCATCATGTAACAGCCCAATTCACTGATCTCATTTGCTGCCTAAAGTTGTTAAATGGTTGATGTTTTGTAGTTTTGATTTTGTTGCCATTGTGATTTTACAGATTGAGATCTATCGGGGATTTGACGTCCAGAAAATATTAATGATTTTAAAAAGGATATACTCAGAACATTTTGAACTTCTTGATCAGCCAGACACACAGGCATCAAGAACTGGCGTATGAATCTCAACAATGGTGACAATCATAAGTTGTATGCTGCAATGCATGTTGGGTACCAAAAAAAAAGCCATGACTCCCAGCATGCATTGCAGCATGAATAAATTATGCAGCTGAATTGTCTGGTTCTTCGCTTTAATTTTTTACTTTTTGCTTTTATTTTTGCTTTTGGTTTTGTGTTGACTTTTAGTTGCGTATTTGGGGATGTTTAAATTTAATGTTATCTTTTTTGTTGATTGTCACCATTTCTGAGATTCATTGGCTGATTCTTGATGTTAGTGTGTGTCGAAGTAAAGCCATAGTTCAAAATTTTTTATTGAATGATGAGTTTAAAAATAAAACTTTCAACAAATGTGTCTTAAAAACACACAGTTAGAGCAGGCAAAGTAAAGCTAATGTTAGTCAAGGGTCAAGAGCCCAACTAAAGCAAACACTGATCTTCATAATGGTAACGTCAAATGAAAGAAAACAACATTCTAAACCTCTGTTAATTCTCAATAGGAATTTATGTAGACGTATGAAAAAAATAAAGTCATTCTGGTTAGTAATAAGTGAAGCTGGTAATGCTATTTTTTGGATTTGTTTAATCCTCCTCTGCTGAGATCTTCAGAGATTTAATGTCTTCTGTGACTGAAGTCAGTTGCAGTTCTTGTGTTTCGCTTTTTTATCTTCTTGTTGTTCCTCTGTCCTTCAGTGATTCTGATTGTTAACATCAGGTGTTCATCACTAATGCTCAATCATCAGTTGATTAATCACTGAATTATATAATTAACTTCAACACTGCTTCAGTGTTACTCCAACACTCTGTAGTGTGGAAACAATTTAAAACTGAAGATTTTGCAGTGGGATTGAAAGGGTTAAATGTGTCAGATAAAAAAAAAACAGAGTGAAGCGTATTTTAACGGTAATCAACTGTAAATTAATTTACGGCATAAAACTGTAGAAAAACAGCAACTTACTGGCAACCCAGCTGCCAGTAGATTACCGTAAAATCAAGGAAAAACGGTAATATTCTGTAAAATGTTACAGTTAGATGTATTAAACAAAAGAAGTTAATTTCACTGAAATATAAGTGAAAGTTCATAGAAAAAAAGTTATGCGAAGTCAATAACTGATAAGTAGAGTAAATATTAAACTGAAGTGTTTTATGTATTTTGCACAGGATGATACAGGAGAAATCTGTTAGTTTAATTGAGTTTTGTGGGTCACCATTGTGCTGGAGAGTAGAGCCTGTGCTTCAGTCAAAGATGAGCAGAGAAACACTGATGTTATGCTGCCTGTTGCTTTATGTAAAAGCAGTAACTGTGTAGTTGCTGATACAGTGACAATCTCCTTGCTAAGTACTATAGCACAATGTATGCTAATGTTTGCTATATAAACTGCAAAGACTTTAAAAAGACTTTGCAAAGTTAAAATCATGTTTTTAATTAATTCACTATTACATATTAGGTGTTTGCAGTTTTATATAAAGAGATATTCATTTTCAGTGGACTCTAATGAAGGAATTTTACGGTACTATCAGTATAAATACTAGTTTTTGAACTCGAACTGTTTAAAGCAATCGGTTTTCCATATGAGTCACCTGCAATGGTATTTTTACGGTAACAGACTGTAAAAAAGGAGAGCTGTAAATTAACGGTAAAAGGCTGTAAATTAACAGTACATTGCTGGAAACCACAGCTGCCAGTAGATTACCGTTATTTTACAGGGCAATTTTTTACAGTGTACGTCTGCTGTATTAGTGTGTATCACTGTGATATACTTTCGGCAGCGGCACCAGACTGGATGTTGGCAGTAAGTAAATAATTAAATCATTTATATATAATGTTTTCATATTTAGTCATTTAACTGTAATTTATGACAAAAAAAGATAAATGTTTTCCTGCTTATTGGGGAAAACATTACTATTTGATATGCAGTGTGTATTTCTTAATGCAGTTTTACATTTATGAGTTAATATTACAGACACACACTACAAAAGTCTTTTCTACAAATAAGATTTTGGACATTGTCACCATTGTTGGACAGGAAAAGAGATACATTGGATAAATATTGCATGCTATAAGAGCATGAGAAGAATATATCAATAAAATAATTGTTGATTTGGACAAAAGATATGTAAATAAATTGTACAAAAAATTTGTAGAAAAATGATAATACATTTTCACAATTTAAAAAAAAGTACAATTTAGGATACTTTACAAAAAAATAATAGAACATACTTAAGTGTGTGAAGTTGTGAACTAAATGTAATATTTTCAGACACTTAATTGCATCTTATTTTTTATTTGTTTTTTTAAGTATTATTCCTCAGATTCAAATCAAATGCATTTAGTGTTTTTTGACCCACTTAAGTAGTTCTTAAGTACTTTATGTCTTTATATTAAGTTGGCTACTATAAGTATATTTAATGTAATTTCATAATTGACAAGCAGTTTTTGTAAACTAAAATATTCTTTAATGTAATTTAAATTTATTGATTACACATTTGCAAACATGAAGCTCTGCAATTCAATACATTCCAATATATTAACTTTAAGTGTAATATAGAGTAACACACTACAGTAAAAATTAAAATCAATCATATTAACTCTTGTTTGAATGGATGTTTCAAAATTTTTTTTTATGAAAACTACTTCACCTGAACACCTTTGTTGTTTCCTTTGTAACAAATGATGTGCTTTGGTAAACACTGTTACAAAGACCAAAATCACACTTAAAATGCCAAGAGTCAAACTGCTCAACTAAAGGAAACACTGATCACTATAATGGTGACCAAACATTTTAAAACATCGACATCTAAACCTCCGTTCATAGACGTCTGACAGAAATAAAGTCAGTCTGGTTGGTAATAAGTGAGGCTGGTAATGCTGTTTGTGGAGTTGTTTAATCCTCCTCTGCTGAGATCTTCAGAGATTTAATGTCTTATTTTATCTTCATATGATTTAATCTAAGGCTGTGACTGGAAGTCAGTTGTAGTTCTTGTGTTTCTCTTTCCTTCAGTGATTCTGCTTGTTAACAGCAGGTGTTCATCACTAATACTCAATCATCACTTAATTAATCACTTAATTATCTCATTAACTTTAACACTGCTTAAGTGTTACTTTAACACTCTGAGTGTGACTATATGTACGTACTCTGAGCAGTGTTGATTTAACACTGGGGATTTTGCTGTGTAAGGTGGTCTGCATTAAAAAATGAATAAATAAATATTAGATGGAGTTACATTGTAAGACATGTTGACTTCCCTATAAAGTATTTCATCTCAAATACCCAAATAAATGTCACCCAGTGAAGCATGAAAACACCTGCACAGTAAATTATGAGACATAATGTTGACAAAAACTCTAAATTCTAAAAAAAAAAAAAAAAATAAAGGTCCAAAGGGTTTTTTTCGCAGTGATTCCACAGAAGAACCATTTTTTGGTTTCCCAAAGAACCAAGTTCTAAAAGAAACAAGTTTTTTTTTTTAGTGTGAAGAACGTTGTAAAAATCTAAAGAACCTTTTTTTCACCAGAAAGAACATTTTGTGGAATGGAAAGTTGTCACATGTGTTGTGCAGAAATTCAAACACAAATGACTCAAGAGTGACAATATCAAAATATTAATCCATAAAACCAAAACACAGGAGATTCTTCAGGAACAGCAGACTCACGTTATGTATCTATTATTAAGCTGTCATATGTTTCAGAGTTCATATTTTAACTGAATTACAATGGTTGATCATCACCATGTTGGAGATTTGTGTTGAACTATATGTTCTCCTCATTGCAACTTTTGCAACTTATTTGTCCGGGTGAAAAGGGTAAACTGTGTGCCTCTAGTTCCCTTAGAGGGGAGCGCAGCTCGTCCACTGTGTCAGGGGAGAGACCCTGCCCCTGATCCAAATCCTTCAGCAGGTCGACTTGGTATGCCTGTAACACTTACATAGTGTGTAAGGAAGCCCCAGTCTGAACTGCTGCTGCGTATACCCTGCTGTTCAAGCGAGATGTCATCTTGAGTGGCTTATAAGGCAGGGCCGGAGCTTTTAGTGCTGATGCCTCTCCAGCAGCGAGATAGTTCGTGAACGTCTAGTCGATTGGGGGCATCGACACATACCCATGTGTTCACGCATCCCCTCGTCATCAGCGTAGTTTGCTCACTGCTGACGATGGATGTTTGCAGAATATGGGTTCTTCCATGCTTTCTTGATCTCAGTACCTTCAGACGAAAGTGGATGACATGTTCTCTAGGCCCTCTTTTATACTTACGGGTCGCACTAGTAGTGACGTCATAGGCTGTCGCCGGTCAAATCCAATTGCCGTGATTGGATAACTTTTCAGACACTGGTTCCTGCGGATGGCGTTCCCGAATAGCGTCATCAACGCAGTGTCTCGTTCCCTGTTCTCTGGGAACAGAGTTACAGTCCTAACCTAGACGTTTTAAGAGGCTAATTATGTTCATGTTGTGTAGCTTGAATATGAAAAACAAGGATAGACGCTTGCATTGCAAAATTCTAAACATTGTTTAGTTGCCTTGACAAGAAGTTTTAAGTTAAAAAGACTACCTGCTACTCATTAGATGAACAAAACAATTTAAGTAGATTTTAACTGAAGGGGATTAGTTGAGTTAACTTAAAAAGTTGAATGCGAAAGGATGCCTTATTTTTTTAAGTTAGCTCAACTTTTTTTTTTTTTTTTTTTTTTTTTACAGTGAATGTTTTGTGAATCTGGCCCCAGATTTAGTTTTTCTGTTCAGAACTTTAAAAACCGGCTCCTACTGAGTGTATTATGTGTGCAGTGTGTGTCTAAATCAGCAGTTCCTCTTTCACTGAAGGGGTTTTTGTACGGCTGTGTATCACTGTGTTAATGGTAATTCATAATACTGCTGACAGTAATAATCTCCTGCATCTTCAGGCTGGACATTTCTAATATTGAGCATGAAGTTTGTTCCTGATCTCCCATCAGTGAATCTCTCAGAAACTTCAGACACTTTGCTACCAACACTATAAAACAGGAGTTTGGGTGTTTGTCCGGGTCTCTGGTGATACCAGGCTAAATGGGCTGTTAAACTAGAACTGCTGGACCCGCAGTTGAGAGTGACGCTGCTTCCCACAGACGCCAGATTCACGGATGGACTCTGAGTCAGAATGATCTCAGCAAAACAACCTGCCATCACAGCACATCAGTCAGTGTTACAGTCAAACACACAATACATGAGAAGAATGATACAACATTTATAAAGCACTTCTGAAAAAGCTCTGAATATTCAACACTAATCTCACCAGCGAGAGAAAGCAGTAGAGAGCAGATAATCAGAGCGTTTGCAGTCATCTTTGCTGAGAATGAGTGAGAACAGACGAGACCTGCTGTTTACAGTCCTGACCGGCGGACAGTCCGTCTTAAACAAAGGGGTGTTGCACATATTCAAAGCTGCTTCCTTTCAGGAGGAAATCTGACACACTGATTTAAATAAATTCAGTTTTAAAAGATATTTAATTTAATTTCTCTACTTATTAAGAATTTATATCAGTATCAACTGATATTTCTCAAGAGTTTCCAAGGATATGATAATGATATCTAATAAACATTCAGTAGTTGGCCATCAGTGAATCAAATAGAGTTTAGATTGCAATGTTTAAACGTAGAATCATATATTATAAAAAATGTTCTTTCTAAAAAATGAAATGTATATATTTTTTTATTGAACTGTAATTGACACTAAACACTAAATGAACAGAAAGATGTTGTTTTGGAGATGCAGTGAACAGTGCAGCTACTGAAGCGTTCAGCAGGTTTTTGTACGTCTGCTCTATTAGTGTGTATCACTGTGATATACTTTCGGCAGCGGCACCAGACTGGATGTTGGCAGTAAGTAAATAATTAAATCATTTATATATAATGTTTTCATATTTAGTCATTTAACTGTAATTTATGACAAAAAAAGATAAATGTTTTCCTGCTTATTGGGGAAAACATTACTATTTGATATGCAGTGTGTATTTCTTAATGCAGTTTTACATTTATGAGTTGATATTACAGACACACACTGCAAAAGTCTTTTCTACAAATAAGATTTTGGACATTGTCACCATTGTTGGACAGGAAAAGAGATACATTGGATAAATATTGCATGCTATAAGAGCATGAGAAGAATATATCAATAAAATAATTGTTGATTTGGACAAAAGATATGTAAATACATTGTACAAAAAAATTGTAGAAAAATGATAATACATTTTCACAATTTAAAAAAAGTACAATTTAGGATACTTTACAAAAAATAATAGAACATACTTAGTGTGTGAAGTTGTGAACTAAATGTAATATTTTCAGACACTTAATTGCATCTTATTTTTTATTTGTTTTTTTAAGTATTATTCCTCAGATTCAAATCAAATGCATTTAGTGTTTTTTTGACCCACTTAAGTAGTTCTTAAGTACTTTATGTCTTTATATTAAGTTGGCTACTATAAGTATATTTAATGTAATTTCATAATTGACAAGCAGTTTTTGTAAACTAAAATATTATTTAATGTAATTTAAATTTATTGATTACACATTTGCAAACATGAAGCTCTGCAATTCAATACATTCCAATATATTAACTTTAAGTGTAATATAGAGTAACACACTACAGTAAAAATTAAAATCAATCATATTAACTCTTGTTTGAATGCATGTTTTTTGTATTGTGTTTACTTGTTACCCAACAGCCATTACAAAAATAGTATGGTAATGTAATTTTAGTTTGGAGGACTAAATTCATAATGTATTCGAATTCAAAATAGTTTAAAGTTTTAAAAGAAGCAGTAATGCAATAGCTTAGTAACTCCATGCCTCCCATAAAAATCTGTCAAAATGATTACATTTGATTAATCTTGAAAAATATTCATCAAATATTACTTTGTTGAAACTCATGGTAATTCATCTCTAATAAACTGAAGCTGTTTGTTAAGCGAGTTGTGTGTGGTCCCGCTGCTCTTCTTCTCTCAGGCAACACTCCTCCTAAAGTGATCATCTTGCCCCCGTCCAGTGCAGAGATCTCCTCTCTGAACACAGCGACACTGCTGTGTGTGGCCAGCGAGGGCTTGCCGTCAGACTGGAGCCTGAGCTGGAAGGTGGACGGCAGCAGCAGGGCTCAGGAGAGCAGCGCTGGGCTCCTGCAGAAGGACGCTCTGTACAGCTGGAGCAGCAGCCTGACTCTCTCTGAGCAGGAGTGGATGAAGAGCGTCTCAGTGAGCTGTGAGGCCACACGGAGCGGCCAGCCTGCAGTCACTGCACAACTGAGGAGAGATCAGTGTTCAGATCAGTAGATCCGCTCAGGCTCTCCTCTGGCTTCTGCTTCATCCTTCTGGCTGACGTGTCTCTTCTGCTTCTCTGAGTTCATTCACACAAGAGCATGCTATGATGTTCTGTTATAACTGAAATAAAATCAATAATACAGTGTCTGTCTTTGAGTCCTTTTGTGTTATTTGAGAAAATAGTTAAAGACACTTAAGGGGGTCCAAAATATTTTTTGCCAAATGAAAGAAATCTAAAATAAAGTCCCGGTTTCACAGACAGAGCTTAGATTAAGCCAGGATTAGGCCTTAGTTCAATCAGGACATTTAAGTACCTTTTTTAAACGTGCCTTAGAAAAAACATTACTGATGTGCATCTTGAGACAAAACAATGGCTCTGGCATATTTTAAGATTTGTTCATGAAAGTTGCTTCCATTTAAAACAGCTCAAACATGCATTTTGGTTTGGGACTAGTTTAACACTTCTCTGTGACACCAGGGGAAAATATAAATATTAGTTGCTTACATGACAATTAGAAATGTTGCCTTTGCCGCTTACTGAAATAAGTAGTTGAAGTATTAAACAAGAAGAAGAAGAAGAAGGATTATTATTTATTGAAACTAAAACTGAAATAAAAATAAAGCTGTCTAGAATTTTCTTTTTTTTAAAACATAAATTTGAAGATGACTAAAGCACATAATAAAAATGACTAATTTATACTAAACAGAACTAAAATTGATATTATTTATAATAAGAAATATGGAAATTAAAGATAATTCAAACAATTAACAAATACTATAACAGAATATAAATAATATAAATTAATATAAAAAATATAAAGAATATAATATAAAAAAGTATCCCTGGCTTGTAACCAATTTTACTTGTGCAAAAAATGGTTTGCAAGCTTGTTTTAACTTCAGAGTGATTTTTTGACCCACTGAAGTCAGACTTAAGTAATAATAATAATAATAATAATTCATTACATTTATATAGCGCTTTTCTATGCACTCAAAGCGCTTCACAAGGAAGGGGGGAATCTCCTCAACCACCACCAATGTGCAGCATCCACCTGGATGTACAACTTTATATGTAATTTCATAATTCTGTAGCCTTTGAAGATATCAGAATGCTGTTTTATTGGGTAGGTGAGTGTCTAGTTGTGTGGCATGTGTGTGTGTGTGCACAGCTGCAGAGTCTCTCAGCTGTATCAGTGCAGTGTGAAGGAGGTTTTTGTACGGCTCTTTATCACTGTGTGATTATTGCACCAGTGTGGTCGCTCTGACAGAAGTAATGTCCTGCGTCTTCAGACTGGACTCCAGTGATGGTCAGAGTGAAGTCTGCTCCATGTCCACTCCCTGTGAATCTAGATGAAGCTCCAGTGAAGCGATGTGTTGCACGGTATACGAGTAGCTTAGGAGCTTCTCCAGATCTCTTGAAGTACCAAGCCATGAAGTCATTATTATGCACCGGCCTGTTGGCTTTGCAGTTTATTCTCACGTCTGTTCCATGGGCTGCTGTTATTGCCGGTGTCTGAGTGATGGTGACCTGTCCTCTGCACTCTAAAAGAGTCAGATATACATGAGAGACCAAAGTATGACACATGCCAGTTTATGCAATACAGATCTAGTCTAGTTATACAAACCCTGATAAAATGCTGCAAGTATCGAGATAAAAATGATGATGAGAGTCATTATTGTTCTGTAATGGTGAAGATATTGCTCTGAGTTAAACTCTTTCAAAGCACTCTTTAAAGGCACTGAAGCATGTGCTGCTATATGTAAATGTTCATGGTATGTAAAGCAGCATTTACTCTTTCAATTCTTGCACCCGGAAACAATTCAAACATCAACCATACTAACATAACTAAAAGTTTGCTAAGCGGTATTTCCTACTAAATCAAAGTGCTATAGAGAGATGCATGATGGCATGTTTTATTGGGTATATTTTCTTTTGGATTATTGCAGAAAATAAGCTCTGTGACCAACAAAAGTTTATAATTCTTGGGTGCAATAATCCACTTTTCCATCGAGCGAACCGCAATATTTCTTTTAAAATGCGTCAGTGATGTAAAATAATTTGCAATAATTGTAAATACATAATTTTTCATACCGATTCACATTGAGATCCTATGTGAGAACATAGGCAATTAGTCAAAAAGTGAGGCAAAACTATTAGCAAAAGTCCAAATAAGCTCAAATAGAAACGCAACACCTAAGTGTATTAAACAAAAAGAAGCTGCTCCAATGCTTGATGAAACCCTGAATAAAGCAGAAGAACATATTTTATTTGTCAAAAACATAAGTCAAAAGCCTTAATCCCAACAGAGCTAAAATGTCTTGAACAGTTACAGTGGTTTCAGTTGTAAATCTTTATTTCTTGTAAACAAAGCTCTTGGGGTTTGATCATGGTCACTGGAGACGCTATTCTGAGACTCGCGCAAATGCAAATGAGTTTCAGGCCACACTTCTAGTTTCACTAAGGGTTATTTTTGATTCAGTGCTTATAAAGAATTCAGCTTTGTGCAGGGTACACACTTTCTTTAATAAAACATTTTTTCAAGTTATGAACTGAAGTTTTTCATATTTTGGGGTCTTATTTTTAAGAAACACAACAAAAAGTTCAGTAAGGTTCAAAAAGTTATAAACATCCTTCCATGTCTTTGGGCAAATTCAAATGTTAAATAAGAATATTAATAATAACTTGTTACCACCTGGATGGACCTCGGATTAATGTCTTATGCCATAAGGACAGTGCTTTTAGACCGTATAGTGACGGGGACACCTCCTCCAGGAGTCTCCCATCCAGGTCCTGACCCGGCTCAACCCTGCTTAGCTTCAGTGGGCGACCAGGGTGGTGTGGCTGCTATTGATTATGATTATGCTGCAAGTGTGGTTATTCCTCTATTGTGTGGTTGCATGGTCTCAGTAAAACTGATGTCACTGAAGTTCATCAGATGGAGCTGGAGTTTCTGAGTTTGCAGTGAGCCGTGAAGATGTTCTTCCACACACACACACACACACACACACACAGGATGCGCAGCTGCTGCTTCACGCTATACACATTTATCTATGTAAATGATGAGCTTTTTCTGCACTCTCTCTTATATACATTTAATACATATAATTTCTCTATAAATATATTGCTAAATTGAAGGGAAATTCTAAATTTGGGTGAATCTCGCAAACGATCCCCAAATCAAAGTGAAAAATAATAAATTATATATTTTTTGCTAATATTGTGAAATATTATCAAAATTTTAAGAGTGACCTCTGACCCGACACATGACATAGGATGTAGGAGTCGCGTAAGCTTAGCGGGTCGTTCAAGCTCAAACCGGTGGGCAATGTTTTGCTACGGTTTCCGGGTCGAACGACATGTTTCCTGGAAACGCCGTGCAACGGGGTTTGAGATACGTTTTATCTTGTTTGGTGGGTAACATGTATATAAACCACGCGGTGTTAAAGAGACAGCTCGCACAATGGGTCTGAGTAAAGCCGTTTACAAATGTGTCCGCTGCAGCTCGGTATACCCAACAATTGAAGATATTAGAAGACAGGATTGTCTTTTCATCCTGAACACCTCAAAATAACACCAAGAATGGCCTTCTCAGCTGCCATAGATGCAACTCTTGCGTCATCAGAACAAGGGTGTTCAACGCACCACCGTTTCCGCCTAAAAAACATTTTGCAACTTTTTGTCTGAAGGCAGCCCATTGAGAGGCTCACACATTTCAAATAACAAACTCAAGTTTTTCGGTGTTTTGTTTTGCTCTATCCTGTGCGCTTCAGCGTTCATCAACACGTCATGCGTCGGGTCAGAGGTCACTCATTCGCCGGTACTAGACTCGCATATGACTGTTACAGGAAGCCAGTGATTATAGTTTATAAAGTTATAAAAATATAGATATTTTTCTTACAAAAACGCATTGCTTCGCTTCAGAAGGCCTTTATTAACCCCCTGGAGCCGGATGGATTTCTTTTATGATGGATGGACGTGCTTTATCTGGCTTAAAAATCTTGAGCCCCATTCACTCCTATTATAAAGCTTGGAAGAGCCAGGATATTTTTTAATATAACTTCAAATGTGTTTGGCTGAGAGAAGAAAGTCACATACAGTGTGAATGTGAGTGAATTATCGGATCATTTTAATTTTTGGGTGAACTAAGAAAGTTTTTTTAAGATAATTTTCCGATTGCATTTGGCAAACCTCGCTGGAAAAATATTTTTAAAAAAATAAACCCACCTCAGCCCATGTCACGTATTACAAGTTGTGTAGGTAAGCCAGCCAAACAAAGTCGATAGATGCGATAGAATTTATTAACAATTTAACTAACTCAAAATACAGGAATAAACAGAGGATAAACCATAACCACACTAAGCGCAAACGTAAACAAGAACTGAAACACAGGCCTAAATACTAAAAGCAAACAAAGCTAGTTTGATAAACACAGGTGAAGCAAACAAGGGAACTAATGAGTAACCATAGTAACAAACAAGAGGGTAATTAGTAATCTAGGAGACAAATAAGAACAGAGGCAAACAGGAACTAAGCAGACAGAGAGAAGGCAAAACCACAAAAGATACAGAACAAAAGAATGTTAATATGAAACCCATCCTGTGAAAACCGTTTTGAAATCGGACATTACATTACCATGGCAACGGTTCTTCAAATCCTTTTAGGGCTCCTCTCCCCAGTGGGTGGTGTCATGTTTCAAATTACAACATTTATTTCAAATATTTTATAATCAAATACAGTTATAACCTTGAAAAAGCACATATTATTGGAAAGATCTGAGACTCAATGTTCCATATTTGGTGACTGTTTTGTGATAGAAGGGATATTATGACAGAAATGTGTTAATTTGTTACAGAAGAACGCATCAATGGAATGTGTGTGTCACCTGGTGGCTATTTTTGGTACAGCGCCTAAACAAAATCTCACAGGAAGTTACATTTTTGACATATCATATTCAATTTCTGATATGGCTTTGATATTATAGCAACTTTAGAGTAAAATTATTTTATAAAATATATTCTTACTGTACAGTACATTTGTTGATACAGTTAACGTAAACTTATATAACTGTATTACACTTTCATTTTTCGAAGTGCTTCTAATAAACTTTGTGTCTTCTTTAAAAGAGACCAATAGGGTTTGAATTCCAACGCATTTATGAATTGCAACCATTTAAGTTTAGATACATTTTCACATCTATACTCAGTTAAGGGGTTAATCTGAAGCTATATACATAAATGTGGTATTGAATATTGTCAAAAAAAAGTTTTTTAAAGTTTGAAACTTTGAAAGAGAGGCAATGATTGTTTTGCGGGCCTTTAATTTCAGCAGTAAAATCAAAGGGACAAAACCATGAATTAAGGTAAGATTTATTTAGTCACAGCTGCTCAACTTTTCATACATCGGGCATATAATGATTTTGGATTCATTCAATCTGCTACATTGTTGCTTTTATGTTATAGAGCGGGATTAAGCTTCTTGATAATGTTGGTCTATAGGATCAATATACCAAAACCAAATCTGAATCTTAACTAATAGTGAAAGTCGATAAGACACCACATCAGGTTTCTTGTATTTTTCAAACTTTATATATCATTCTTGGATTATTCTAAGCATTTATCGTAGAATGACTTTTTTCTGTGAAAAATATTTTGAATCAATATTTTTTATGTTTATGTATTTATTGTGTCCCACATGTGGTGTACATATTACTTTTTTTAAGATCAATTCTATGTTTGTATGAATGTTCAAAAGAAGTGCAATGAAGTTCTTAAATGTCTAAAGAATACATTGACAGGCTTTGTATGTTTTATATGATAGCATATGACAGATGTTGCTGGAGAAAACAAACAGTCCATCTTTGTGAATTGCCTCTAGACAGTGGTTATAAAAAATACACATATAGCACAGATGGTTTTCTTATGTAAAAATGAAACAAATATAAATCATATCAGAACTTTTGCACCTTTAATATAAAAACTACAAACAATGCCACTGAAAACCAAAGTGACACATTGCAAAGAAAAAAAATCCTAACCGCATAAGTGTGCTCACTCTTTTATAATGTTTCTGTGTTCAGAATAAACTACTCAACAAGCTCATGTGAAATAATACACACAGATCTTCACCTGAAGTGATTCACTCCAAATAAATCTCAGCTGTTGTAAGATGTCCCTGACACTGTGCTAGTTGTTCTACAAGAGCCACGGGCCACAGAGAGCTCACAGAGGATCACCGGGGTCTCGTTGCTGAAAGCAGGATCTGTGCTGAACGCTTCTGAAACACTCACGCTTTACAACTAACTGTGTTGATGCTTCCAAGCTTTTCACACAGTGCTCGACTTCTCCATCTGGTGTCAATAACAACTCCTACACCAACTGTGTCATTCAGTGTTTATATCGGGAGGTCATAATAATGAATGTTTTTTGAGCATCAAATCCACATATTAGAGTGATTTCTGAAGGACCATGTGACACTGAAGACTGGAGTAATGATGCTGAAAATACAGCTTTGATCACAGGAATAAATTACACTTTACTATATTAAAATAAAATAAAATAAAAAGACAGTTATATTATTGTCATAATATTAGATTACTGTTTTTGTTGTTGTATTTTTAATCAAATAGGCTAAATGCAGCCTTGGTTTAAAAACAAAACAAAAAAAAAAACATTAAAAATCTTTTTTACCTT